ATCTGCAGTGCCAGTGCTGCAAATTATGGCAAAATAGTTTGAGGCATAAGATTTGAAATGCCAGTTATAATTTCCAAAATTAATTTGTACAAGAAGCAATTATCTCTATGAGGTACATTTCATAGTGAGGGGAAATGTCTTTAGTAGTTTGATGATGAAGTTGAAAACAATGCAAGCTTTCAAGTTCACCAATCCTCTTGGCACAACCTATAAAATGGGAATGGTTTGGCTTTGGGTCCAGTTTTGATTCCTTCAGCTATAAGGAAGTGGTTTTAAAGGTTTCACTTACTTCAACTGCTTTTACTCCCTCCATTTTCTGAAGATTACACTTTGCCTTCTTTACCTTTGTAGACTATATGACTGGAATAAGAATGTTTTTGATTCTGCTTATCTCTGAGGGGATGCCCCCTCATATGACCATTTGCTATTTGGCCCCAACTCCTGATTTCCAACTCCCACAGGAGTACTCCTTCATTTAGATGGGATGCAACAAACACATTAAGTGGCTTTATATCCCCTCTGCATCTCAGAAAGAAGTATAGAGCTAGCTGGGGATTGCTGTCCCTTGTAACTGTATTGAAGTTAACTTATGAACAAACGTAATACAGCATTGCTACATTTTGCAGAATCAGCAGAAAACATTAAAGAATGTCAGAGAAATGCAGCAAAAGGGAGAATTTCTGCTGGCTTATTGTATGCAGTACACTAACTACATCATACATAACAGACCTTGTTTTTTTTCTGAACATGATCCTACAATGTGAACCTTCACTTGAAAGCTGTATTTTTAAGAGGCTTTTGTCTTTATAATCTCAGAGCCTCCTATACTATTTGATTACCTCAATAGGTTTCCAAAGTACCTTTTCAACTCACAAAGAAACCCTCTTTTATGGGAATTAATGTTTGTTTTCCAATAGTCTTTGTCCTCAAATGCCCTTGCATTAGTCTCATAGTCAATTTCTATCTAATACATTCAGTATAACTCAGACACCACCCACGGCCCTATCTCCATAACTGAATCCATGCAAGCAATCTCATCATTTCATGTTGGACTTAAAAGGGTTCCCAATCTAAATGCACTTGAATAACTCAGGCCTCTAAATGTTTTTAGAAATACAGGTACCAAATTAACTGTATATTTATGTATCAAGATTGGATATTTAGAAGGCAAAATTTTTCTTCCCTTAAAAATATCTGACAGTACTAGAAACTCAAGCTGTAGCCTGCATTGTGACACATTGAAGACTGATAAACATTTTGGTCATAACTATGAAACCCTAGCAGTCAAGCAAGACTAATAGATAGCAAAGAGAGAAAATATTCATTTAAAGCACACTAGACATGTCCTTTAAGATCTGTTATTTATGCAAAGCGTCAATGCTAGACTAGGAAATGTTAACACTCTTCTAAACTATTAACACTCCCCCTCCCAAAAACCTCCAAAAAAAAGTCCTCATCCTCATACACTGTTTCTGGTAAACAGTATAACTTAGACTGTGGAAAAAAAAAAATCTCACAAACTGATTTAAATTGATTTGATAATTACTCTCATTAAATGCTACAAAAAAGAAATCCTTGAGACTAATAAAGTCACATAAAGAAGCATTTTTTGATTTTTAATTAAACATGCAAATAACTTTAATCACAACACCTTGAACATGTATAATAAATTCATTTATTTAAAACACTTGTAAAAGATTTTCTTAAGGCCTGAAATCAACTCCAAGGGCTCAAGCACATAAGCAGAAAACGATAAGGGAATATCAGTTAAGACAGCTCCACTGGACTGTTAATAAAAAACTTTACGTCACGAACAACACATGGATCAAGAACAGGTGTAAGTATCAGAAAAGGTCCAACACGGGAATGCACACAGAGCAAGAAATACCACACCATATATATTTTTGCAAGCATATAAGCACTTTCAAAGTCCTAGCCTAGAAACAACTTTGGTGATAACTGGCTTACATGAGACTTGAGCAGGATCAAAACTGAGAGCTAGCCAAGCAAAAAAACCCAAAAGACATTAGATGCCAACAAACACAAAATAATAAACTCCTGAAAGAATAACTTGCATTTATTCCCACATGGCATTGAATTTTGAGCCAAGTGTAAGCAGATAAACAAAACAATCGTGCACAGGATGTGCAGCTCAACAGAATCTCTGCTTAACAGAGATACACAAGACAAGAAACAAAGCGTTCCAATGAAAATAGGAAAGAGACTGAAAACATTCTCAATTCACCTGGAATACTGTCTTTTGTGACATCAGAAAAAACACAGAAAACTAGAATCATAGACTTATATGAGATATGAACAAATGCTAAAGATTCTAGGAAAAAAGAAAATACATACACACACACATATACCCCCTCCTCCCTCCGCCACAAAAAAACACCACACAAAACCAGAAGACAGCCAAGAAGACAGAAAATCAAAACACTTTGAGCTAATGCCTCTTTTCCTAATAAAAGGAAATGTGCAACCGTTATTTAAAAAGCAATCTACTAACAACAACAGGAACTCGGTAATACTACTGTGGAAGTCATTGTCAAAGACAGATGCGGAGACAACTCACCTCATAAAAGGACAATGCTTCTATTGATTTTAAATCAATAGTTACCTGCATTAGATTGGACTTTTTTTCTACAAATCAAATTTAAAGATTCATGTTTGACTGTGTGATACAACAACTGCATAGTCAAAATTAGATAGACAACTGCCTTCCAGGCAACTCATTCTACATAACGCATGGGGATTATCATTGTCCTTGTAAATCAGAAGCCTCTGCAGTACTGCATAACTCACAGAGCTTAACACTTGAGTGAGGCATCACCCTTTTTCTTCCAGCATCTCACAGGCTGCAACTGACAGTGACAACATACCTTGCAGTGGCACCTTGTAGCACTTCACTGCATTAGGAGGCATATAACCTGCTTAAGTGACAGATGCAATGTACTCTCTAGATGAACACAGCATGCAGCACATATTTGTACATGGCAAAGAAAACTGACTATAGTTCCTCCAACAGAACTAATATAAAGAAGCCTCATTGTATATACATATTTTGTACTGTTTTAGAGGTCTCCATAAAGACAGATCTACCTTATGCAATAATCTGCAAAGTCTCATATCCAGAAATTCCAGAAAGCTCCCCATTTACCTTCATCTGAAGGTAAATTGCATCTGAAACAAGTTAGAGAAATACAAACGTAAGCATGAGCTCAAATGTTGACTCAGATATTATTAGTATTACTCATATTAGTCATCTAACTGGTCTCATGCTGAGAACCCTGTGGGTGGACATATGAATACATAAGTAACCCACCAAAATCAGTGCACAGCTAGGGTCAGAGGTTTTGAAACAGCAGCTCTATTAAGTTAAATGAAAAAAATATAACTGTGTACTGCCTAATAAAAGTGATAATATTTGCAAGCAAGCTTAGGTAAAAAGTTGGGGGAGGTTATAACAAAAATGCAAACCTGTAATAGAACAAGAGCACTAGTATAGGATAATCTGGGTTGAAAGGTACCTCAGGAGGTCATTTAGTTCAACCTCCTCCTTTAAGCTCCAGTTATTTTTATTAAAAAAGACATAAGATTTTGGTTGCCCTCTTCCAAATCAGTTGGGTTTTTTTAGAACACCATTAAAACAAGTATTTGTTTTATTATTGCATGGTCAACTACATCAATTGTTTTTTAATGAAAGTTTTGTAACATTTGATGGTAGTTCTCTTTTATTCATAACCAACACCATTTAATTAATGTCTCTGTTTAACATTACTACATTTCTGAATTTTATTTCCCTTTTAAAGTTCTTTTAGAGGAGATGCTAGGTTGTTTCTTGTAACTGCAAACTTCGTCACTTAGCTTTTTGTTTACATAAGGTCATACTGTAAAAATGCTCCAGAGCTGAGATAAGAGACCAATGGCAAAGCAACAACCCTGTTCAGCAACTGCTTTACTTACAAATTCAGCAAGAAGATGCCACTGCTAGTACAAGATGGTAGTGACATTCACTGCAGTAGTATTCTGTCATCATGCGTAACATTACCTCCACATAGGTTAGAAATGGTTATTCCACAGAGATTTCAACCTTTTTATTAGCCTAATCATCACTCTGAACAGCTACAAGTGAAAAGCAGTAACAGCCTCCTTTCATTTTTCAGTTCCAGTTCCAGTCAGTCTGATTTGATCAATAGGGATGTTGAACCATTTTCTGCATTCTGTGAACTTCTTGTTCATCACAACTTCCTCTCTCAGCAGCAAATACTACTTCCTCATGTTGCTGTTGCTGGCATTTACAAAAATTAAAAACTCTGTAAATAACTGAAATTTAAGGCTCCTCTGGAAAGTGCACCACTGCTTAAAATCTCTATCATTTCACACAACAATACTATAGTTGTTTAATACAAAATTCTCTATTTACACCCCTGAAATCACTTGGGAGGTACTCTCATTGAGCAGAAGACAGCGATGGCTACTGTATTCCTACTGAATCCTCAAATTACTGCCACTGACCCCAAAAAGGGAAGATAAATGGGCAGGCCCAAGGAACATCACTACAATATTACTCCCAAATCACGTACTAGAAAGACTGAGGGGGGGGGGGGAGGAAGAAAGTTAATCAAACTGTTCCAAACTACCTTTAACTGTGCACAGAATCTCCCTACAATCTCCTGTTAATTTTGATTTTCCTTAAAATACAAACTTAAGAAATACTTCTTTTTCACCTAAACTACATATACATTAAATTTTATTAACAATAGAACAAATTAAGAAGTAGATAATAAATTGGAAGGCTTTAAAGGGCTAAGATGTCAGAAACATTCACCATTAAGCAACTAATCTCAAGCGCAGAATCACATTTGAAACTGTAAACAACCATCACAATCTTCCCAACTGTGTTTCCTTCTGCCCAACAACCAAAAGGAATACAGTCGACGTCTCCCAGCACAAAACAATTTACAAATAACCAAAGGAAGGTGTCATTTGCTCACCTGTCACTGACTGCAGAGGTGACAAGGCCACAATCAGGTTCTAATTAGACTTCAGTCGCAAAAAGAAAAAAAAAAAGACTCTGAAGACGTTTTATCTGCAATTCTTTTCTTAAAAACCATAATCTTATGAAAATGAATTTAACTCGTAACCCACACCTAGGGGAACATTTCCCCACGCAGAAGCAAATTCAATAGAGATACACGGAGAAAAACCACAGATGTGCTTCTGTGCCCGTTTGCCCTCCCCCCTGCAACGAGGTTTTATTTTTTAATTTTTTTTTTTTTATGGCACAAGTAAGAATTCTCGAGGAAGTTCTCCCGCACACACAAACACGCACCACCTCCACCGACGAGGCGCGGCAGCCGGACTTCCAGCTGCTCCGCCGGCCCGGCCCGGAGCCCGGGAATACTGTTTACGGAGAGGGAGGGAGCAGCGGCGGTGCCCCGCACACCCCTCTCGGCTGCAGGGCTGCCCGCGCCCCTCGAGTGCCCGCCCGCCGTGGGGGAGCCCCTGCCCGCGGGACGGGACGCAGGACACGGCGGGTGCAGCCGCCACCCCCCACCCGCCCCGGGCGGCGCCGGCCCCACTCACCCGGCGGCGCTGGCGGTGCAGCCCGGCGCGCAGGCAGCGTCCGCCCGCTCCCTTCCCATGCACGGCGGCGCCGGCGG